CCACCTCAACTTCTTCATGCGCAAAAAGTGGTCTGAGAAACCCTGTAGACTTCAGCCATGGGTATTTTCTGACACCCTTGTGCTGTCTGAGAGTAGCACAGAGTAACTTCACCTTTCTCCTTCTTTCACTTTGTCTGGGGACCAGACCTGTCTTTCTAATAAGTACCCTGCTGCTGGTGGTGGTGTTGTTATTTTTTTTGTGTGCATGACATTGGGGTTGGCACCCAGAGCCTTGCACATACCAGGCAAGTGCTCTACCACCAAGCATCCCAGCCCTGTGATTATTTGTATTTTTGTGGTATGCTGCTTCACAAACTGAAAATTTGGGAGCAGAAGCTTCCTCTTTGTCATTCCAACATTTTGAGTGGAAATCAGAGTCACTTATGCACCCGTAGAGGTGGAGAAATGCAAAATGTCCCACCAAATGTCCTCTAGCCCTTTAGTTCCCCTAACTAATAAAAATGAAATCTACATTTCATCTACAATGAAATCTACATTTCCTCCTTTCTACAGGGTGGGGACTGTAACTTGCCCTGTGAGAGTGAGCAAGAGGTCATTTAAAAAGTTGCCTTATTATTCTTTCTGGGAGCAAGCGCAAAGCTTTCTATCTTGGGGTGTAGAGGCGTACGCTGTCTTCCCTGGAAGGGTATCACCTGATGGGCAATGTGCTGTGAAGTTAACAAGAAAAAGAGCCATGTTTAAAGGAGGGTATCCTCCCAAAGGTTATTTAAAAGCCACACCTGAGTCCAATGCACATGCCTGCAGTCCCAGTTACTTGGGGGGATGAGGCAGGAGGATCACATGTTTCAGGGTAGCCTGGACAATTTAATGTGACCCCATCTCAAAATAAAAAGGGCTGGGGTTTGCTCCACAGTATTGCAAAATAAGCTTGTAAATAAAATAAATAAACAAACCAGAAGAGAAAAATAAAGCCAAAACTTTCACACAATGATAGGACAGGGATTCTACAGGTGTCAGGGATATCTGCAAGGCAACGCCAGCAGGAGTTGTTCTTCATGATGACAGGCATTGCCCAGCGGATAGCCCGCAAAAATCTTCCCTCCAGCCATGTTTCAGGAATTGCAGGTCATGCCTCATTAATAGGTCATGAAATCAATTTAGTGGGTCATGACCAAAGATTTCAAAAAACAAATAAATTAAACTAAAAAGCAAAACAGGACAGAAAATATCATACTGCAGTGCATGCAGGTCATATACTATCTGGTTTAGTTGTGGTATCCCTGGGCACGTGTGTGTCCGTGTGCATTAGAGATGTGTCTGATACATCATGTCCCAGTTGTCAAATGCTTTTCTCACTGCATCTCCAGGTCATGGCTAAAAAATTTGGAAGCCACAGTCCTGAAATTCCTCAGTGCTGGCTTCAAAGGACTTGCTCTGTTTTTTGGAAAAAGTAAATTCACGAATAAGAGGAAAAGAAAGTATTTCAATGTGAATATTTAACTCACAACGCTCAGCTTAAACCATTCCTATATGACTCTGAATTTTTTTCCCTCTTTAAAAAACACTTAAACTGCATCACTCTTGCTCAGTGTAAGGCCGGAGCAAAGAGTGGAGTGGGTTCAAGATCTTCATCTGGAGACAACACTCCCACCATGGACAGGCACCTCAGTATTTGTATTTCCCTCCTTTCCTTTGTCACCATGTACTTCCTCTGATAGACTGATAGATTGCACTTCAAAAAAAACAGTGCACAGATTTAATATGCCTATTCGTAAAGGCATTTATATTTTAGCCAAATATTTAACCACATGCCATATACAAGAATCTCACTGTAGAACTTAGTTATACAAGGAGGAAAACTGTAGGAAAAGAACATTTTCCCAGCCCTCCTGCCTTGACTAGCTATGTTCACTCAGAATTTTTTTTTTTTTTTTTTTTTGAGACAGGGTCCCACTCTGCAGTTCAGGCTGACCTTGAACTTACTGTGTAGCCCAGGCTGGTCTCGAGCTCACAGTGATTCTCCTGTCTCAGCCTACTGAGTGCTGGGATTACAGGTATGCACCACCACTCCTGGCCTTTTTTTCTTTTGGTACGAAGAATCAAAGTCAGGACCTTGAGGGCTGGGGATATAGCTCAGCGGCACAGCGCCTGCCGGGCAAAGTCAGGACCTTCCCCTTGCCAGGCAGACACTGTGCTGCTCTGCTGAGCTGTATCCCCGGCCCTCACACTTTTTTACATGTAAATAATATGCTTGATTTCTTTCCTTATTGACTTGTGAAATAGGTCTTTATGCTTCCTAGCTGTCTTTATTTTTTAAAGAAATTAATGAACGTATTTTATCACAAACTCTGAGAGAAAATACTTTATCCTCTTCAACTATTAATATTTACCCCCTAGTGATGGAGACTGAACCCAGGGCCTTCCTCATGCTAGGCCCATAGCCCACCACTGAGCTTCACTCTCAGCCCATGTTTGTACTTTTGAGACAGGGTCTCACTACGTTGCCCAGGCTGCCTCAAACCTACGATCCTCCTGCCACTACCTTCCAAGTAGTTACAGAGGTGAGCACCCCACAGAACTCAGACGGGATTCGCCTCTTGCCCCAACTCACTGCGTAGCAAACTGAAGTCTCTAATTTGTACTGATTCATGACTGGTAATGACAATACAATTAGGGCTGGGGATTTAGCTCAGTGGCGCAAGCACCTGCCTAGCAAGGGCAATGTCCTGAGTTCAATTCCCAGTACCAAAAGAAGAAAAAGAAAAAAATCACAATAACAATACAATTATACTGTCCTATAGCACTTGGTACTACTGTTTCCCAGGGGCACCCGAATGAGACTCCACCTGCACGCTTTTTTCTCTGAAGACTGTATTATGTAAGTACCACAGTTTTCATAAAATAACAATTCTAGTAACTATTTAAAGAAAGCACCACTTAAGGCTGGCGCGTAGCTAAGTGACAGAGTGCTGCCTTAGCACCACAGGCCCTGGGTTCAATCTCCAGACCTGGGTAAAGAACAAAGAGACAGCAAGCACCTCTTTCTGACGGTGCCGCTCATACCAGATTCCCAGTGTTAGGTGATTTACCTACAAATTCTCATTGCACAAGGAAAGGAGACCAAGGGATGGGGGGTGGGGATGTGAGATGTGCTATTCACATGTACCAACTACCCATGCTGATTGTAATCATTATATACTGCAAACAGGACTAAAGTAAACATCTGGGGAAAAGACACCTCAGTGAAAAGGACAATGGTTTCCTCCATATCATTCCACGACGCCTCCAACACAATGTCACAGACGAGAACACCAAGGCTCAGAGACACTGACAAGCTGCCTGTGAAGACACAGTAATTATGTGGGAAGATCTAATTCAAACTGAGTTCCTCTAACTTCAAAGGGTGTGTTCCACTAGTTTCTATGTCACGTAACCTTTTGGTTGTATCTGAAACTGTCATTTTCATTTCCCAATACCCGTTCTCCTAAGGACACGATGGTACACACCAGGTAGGATACCAGAAAAGCTGTTTTCGTTGTTGTTGTTGCTGCTTTCGGTTCCTAAATGAAATGAGCTCTGACTACCATGCAGTAGTTACAGGCACAGAAGACACCAACCTGACACACTCTGCTTGTCCTTTACAGTCTATGGTGACGTCTACACCACCAGCCATCTTTCAAAGAAACAATAAGGGACACAGGAATAAAAACCTGGATATTCCAGCAGTCTTACCAGCATGCTGTGGTATTTCATTATTTATTTAGATTCACTCACACAACTTTTTTTTTTTAGTAACAGTGTTTTAAGAAGACAGCCATGAAAAGCATTATTTTCCACTTTCAGATGGTTCCCATGTTCCCTAGTCCTTCTGTGTCCTGCACAGAGCACTTTAAACAAGAACCATTGAAATTTAAAACCCGCTTTGTTATTTTCCATTTCTCAGAGACTTAAAGATCTCTCTGCCCCAGGTAATCAGAAGCCACAGAGATTTAATAGCCACGTCTCTCATGACAGCAAAAGAAAGAAACTGAGTTTACAGCAGAATATCCTTAGAAACCAAATCTACAACTCATTTTTAAATCAGGGATGAGCCCGGCATGGTGGTCAGTGCCTGTGATCACAGCATTCATGAGGCTGAGGCAGGAGGATCAACGTGAGCTGGAGGCCAGCCTGGGCTACATAGTGAGTTCAAGGCCAGCCTGAATGACACAGTGAGACTCTGTCTCAAAAAACAAAACCAAAAAAAAAAAAGAGCTTAAATTAAGTCAGGGATGAACCACTGACTACCAAATGTGGCTTGGTAGCCATTCAGATTCCAAACTTCTAAATAGCTTTCCCATATTAATTCAGTCTAAAGTTTCAGGAAATAAAATAATTATGTAGTTAAACATAGATCCTTATACAAGCAAGTACTGTGTTTTCAATATACCAATCCACTAAAATAAACAGCGGACATACATCACGAGAACTAAAACCCAAGCCAAGCAGACGGACACCATTTTCCATTCCCCATCCGACAGTAAACATCCTATTGGAATCTGCTCCAAAAACAAAGGTTTTACCAACCTAATGTCAAGGTAAATAGGTAGTAAATACCTACTTGATACTGCTAACCAGTGCATCATTTACATTCTTTAGGGTGTAAGCACACTAAATACTGGCATTTTTTTCCTTTGAAAATACCTTCAGGATGATACCATATAATACAGCTCATTCTTGGTAATTTTTAAAAATACTTTACCAGATACTGTTAGACATTAAATCTGTTTTGGCTATGAACCCTCTGAGTTCAAGGGAATATATACATTCTGCTATGTAGGACAAAAACCTGCTTCTTATATATTTTGGGTTAAATAAATGTCATCGCTCAAATTAAGAGCTACACAGACTAAAAGCCATAAAGCAAAGCTACAATAGTCCTCAATGAAGTAATGGTCATAAACACCTCTGCTCTCTGCAAGTCATACAAAGAGAAGGAAAACGGATTTTCAGCACCAAAACTATGTGAGGACAGCGAGAGTTGTGTGCCTGTGACATACCTTCAGTTCCCGGAAGAAGATGCTACTCCTCGCCCACTCCACGATGGAGAAGAGGGTTTGGTCTGCCATTTTGCACATGAGCCCGAACGTGCTCAGCTTTTCGTGCTTGCTCCGGTTCGCCTGCTCTTGCTGCAAATAGGCCATGATTTTGGCTTGCACTTGAGGCTCATCTGGCTCGCACTTTAAAAGTTCCAGTATCAGATGTGGGATGCTGGCTGGAGAGCTGGTCTGGTAACCATCCATATAGGAGTAGCCCATGATCGACTCAGGCGAGCTGGTGTAGGGGTCTGGGTACTCGGACTTGATGGCCCGGCTAGGAAAATGGCCATATGTTTGGTAACCCTGCAGGCTGCCATGAGGTGGCATTGTCATGCTAATGGGGGACGTTACAAAAGGACTTCTGTCGTAGTCTGTGGGAGGCAAGGCAGCGTGGTTCAGAGGTAGGCCTTTGGAGGCTGAGTGGATGTTCTGAATCGCAGAGATGCTCAGGTCAGAGGGCATCGCTTGGATCACCTGAGACATGGCTTCTAGCTTAAGTCCATTGGCCCGGATGAGGGCTTTTTTCTGTTGCTTCAGAGCCCTGTCTCTCTTATACATTGGCCCAAACTTATTCCTGCCTCCACGCATTCGGTCGGCCCTTACCGCTGTAGGGAAACAGAGGGGAAGAAAGGGGATGTAAACCAAATGCAAATTATCGGCATCTACCAGGCTCTCCAGATTTTTGAAATGCTGAGAACTGAACAGAAATGATTTTTGTGTGGTTTTCATTACAATGCCCTACACATTTTCCAAGTAAGAAACAAAAGCGTGTCTTCTTTATTTACTTATGAATTCCTCCAAGTGTATTGTGTTATCAAAAATATTTTGAACACAGAGGAACATATTAACCCATTTGTGAACTGAAAAGGTTTCATAATCTTTACTATATGTGAGGATATTTGCTTAAAAAGAGCTCTGCTCCTTCCCTTTCCTTTTTTTTTTCTTTTTCTTTGAGGGGATGTTGAGACAGGGTCTTGCTATGGAGTTCAGGCTGGCCTTCAGCTCACTATGTTGCCCAGGGTAGCCTCAAACTCACAACAATCCTCCTGCCTCAGCCTCCCACATCCTGAGATTACAGGTAAGTCAGGTTCGGCTCATAGGAGTGTAGTTTCTCTAGCACCAGGTATGTGGTAATTCTTTGCTTGGGGGTTTTGTTTGTTTTTTGTTTGGTCTTTTTGAGACAAGGCTTTACTAGGCAGTTCAGGCTGGCTTTGAACTTACTTTGTAGCCCAGGCTGGCCTCAAACTTGCAGCGATCCTCCTGCCTCAGCCTCCCAGAGTACTAGGGTTACAGGTGTGCATCACCATGCCCAGTGATAGGTAGTAATTCTTTATGGAACCCAATCTACTCTGGGGTTTTTTGGGTTTTTTTTTTTTTTTTTTTTTTTGGTTTGTTTTCAGTTTTTTTTGAAGGGGGGTAAAAAAATCAAGCCACCCACTTCTGGATTAAATTGTGTGTATTTTCTTCTGAGGATACTTCCTCCCACTGAGCCATTTTGGCATCTTTGTTGCAAAAGGATTGTGATATGTCCTTTTTGGAAATGATTTTCACCTGAACTTAGTAAGTGCCTATCAGATAACAACAGTTAGTTATTATTTTTAATTTCAGCAGAATTGGACATAATTAAAGCAAATTCCTTCCCAAAGCTGTCCAGAGGCTCCTCTGCCACCCTGTGTGGAATGGGGCCATGCCTAACAACTTAGCTGCTCTCCCCAAGCCCATGGTAGCCTATGGCAATTAGACAGAAACCAGCCACCTCTGACAGCCTGCGACACATTAAAATTGCTGTAGGTTAAGTTTCTGAGCTTTTTATCTTAGGATTAGTATCACATTAAAAATTTATTGTGAATTCTAGGTATCTAGACTACTGCACGAGATTATAAGGAGTTTTTCATCTAGATGATAATTTATCGAATATTCAGTTATTTCATACCACTCTTAAGGAAGTATGAGTATTCCCCTTATGTACAATTACAGCATAATTTGTCAAGGTAAAGAAATGTAACCTTTTTCTTTTGTTTTTAAAAAAATCAAATGGCATCACATGAAATCATAGCGTCTACCTTTTCACATTTGTCCTCTGAGTCTCACAGTGCAATAAGCATCTACCAAAACATACTGCCATTTAGTAAATAGTAAAGTGATAAGAAAATTAATAAACATTAGTGACTTCTGTTCTCAGTCTCTTCTTAAAAGTAACATAGTATTGACTGTAACAGTCCTGACGGTAAGCAAAGAGGCTGCATCTCTATGGAAGGAATCTCCTAGCACTCTGGCAGATTTATTTGAAATATTTTTCTTATTTCTATTACGTATGAGTTCCCGATAACAAAAAAGCTCAAAATAAAAATAGCCTGTGCCACATTGATCAACTAAAATGCAGTCTTGTATCTGGCACCATCAGAGAGCTATTGCTCTTGTTATTACTTTATTTGCAGTATATTTAATCTGTGAAAAGCCAGTAGGTCAAAGGCTGAAAAACAGCAGCACACTATTACAATCCATGAACTACAAATTATTTGCAGCAGTCACATATTAACTTTACAGCCTACCAATCTGAACCTGGTCGTGTAGGTTCTGCTCTTTCAACAAAGTCTAGTGTGTCTTTTGAGGAACCATCACTACCATCCTTCTCTTGTTCTTGTCACCCATCGCTACTGATTTAATAGTTATTTTTCGTGTTTCTTGCTTCTCAATTATTTTACTTTGCAGATACAGTCATTATCTTTTAAAGTGTGCATTCCTATACTACAAAAAAGTGAAATTCTACTCGAGAAATTTCATTATTAAACATTAAATATTACTCACAAAGCATGAAATTAGTAACAATTATGATGAGGAGCACCCTTATTAAAAGGATTGAAATCAAACTGCTACTATGGCATCCTGATTTGAAAATGTAACTGGTATCTTATTTTGCATGGTTTAAGAAATTTTTTTGTGTTCATCTGAATTACTTTGGTCTTGTCTATTAACTTGATTGTTTTATTGATCCAATGTTTCTGCTTCCTAAACTCATAAGGGAGACTTTGATATTTAAAGTTTTTTCCTACTGGATGTTACCGTACATAAATGAGACTCAGACTATTCAGCAGACAAAACATACAATTACAATGATCTTAGATTATTGAGAGTAGTGTTCAGAAACTAGGGAAATAATGTTACCACGTTGTAAGTACAGTGTTGTTTTAAAGTGCTCATCCTTGGAGACTTTTAACAGCAGTGGTCCGTAGGAGAATCTTACCTTCTAGCTTCATTCCAACACTCAGACATTTTTGAAATCGACAGTAAGGACAACGTTTTCTCTGGGTTTTGTCAATTTGGCAATTCTGGTTTTCTATACATGTATACCTTTTATTGTTTTGGACTGTTCGCTTAAAAAATCCCTACAAGACAGAAAATAGTGAGACACATTATAAATCTAACATGCCTCTTCCATTGTTTCATTTCAAAGAAAATCCTTTCATTGTACCACTGGAACCCTTATGTGGTTCTGTGGTTTATTTTACTTTTCAGCAAGATCAATCCTCCAAAACAGTGCCAGGCCATAACAGAAATTTTTTTAGTCTCAGTTATATTCCTGAAGAATTACGTCAAATGTTGGGGAGATCTGGCTACATACCATTTCATTATCATAGAAAAAATGTACTTTATATTGACCAGTGATTTTTTTTAAAAAAATCTGTTTTCCTATTAACCTTCATGTTCCAAGCAGAAGTCCTCATAGAAGTCTGCATATTTTTTTAAAGTAGGAAAATTTACTGCAGAAGAGGAATAGGGAGTACGAATGGGGAATAGGAATAGCTCCTAAGAGACAGGAGGGGTTCCAAACGGGTTGGCCGTCTGCATTGTTTGTAAGTAGTCTGATACAATTTCAGTGACAAACCATTGCAAAAATGCCAATAGAAAAACTGAACAGCAAAATACTTCAGATCTTTGGGAAATGTCAACACTGGATAGTTTAAAGTAAAAGGATTTAAAGAATAAAATGGGAAAGGGCTCATAATTCCTCACTGGAATACATTCAAGTATGAGAACTGTGTTTTTTAAAAAAGTGAAATGGATGAGAAGAATACCACAAAACTGAATTTTAGCAGTTTGTGCTTTGCTTATATTTCACTCGAAAGGATTAATCAAAAATGGAAGTTGTAACTTTATAATAGAACAACGGCTTTACCAAGGCAGTGTTCTTGTTTACATTACTAGCCATAAAGGAAAACAATCTCACTTTGTTACAGAGAATGAAGGGGTTTTCCTGGCAATGTTTTAATTAATTGTACTGAGCTGTCTTTAACTTTAAAAACAAAAAAGTTGAAAAATTAGACAACACTGAATTAACCAGGGCTATATAAAAAAGTTTGACAGAAATCCTGAAAGTATCATTGACATTCATAACAATAGAGTACATTTTACATATTCAAATTTTTTGCATTTAAGTACATCACGTGATTCTTTTTAAAACTCAGAAACCAAAAGCTGGTATCTTGGTCATTATGACACAAATTTCAAAAATCTTAAAAATTATTTTTGGAATAAATTAGTATGAAATCGTCATGAAGTTGAGAACTTAGGTTTTTATATCTGTGGATAAAAAATGCTTAGACTTGTAGCACAGAACAGTCTGACGTTAAAAAAACTATCTGGGAAATACTTTGTCATGTTCCTTCTGAAGACCAACAATGCTTTAAACATATATAACTCAAGCAAAATCAGTATTTAGGACTGTTAGAAATGGAAACCTTTCTCCAGCAATATCACTTCACTATAATAAAGTATTTTAAGGCCACGGGACTGGCAAAGTTTTCTAAACAGCATCAATTTCTTTGCCTTTTGAACTAAATCAGACACATATTTCTAAGTATCATCTCCCTAAGACTAGCTCTCTCTCTTACTCTCATTGTTTGAGCAAAAAAAGAAACAGCCTCAGTTTAGCTTTAAAAAGTAATTCAAAGATTTCTTTTGGTCTTGAGCAGTGCATTTTTAAAGACAGCAACACAGGAGCAAACCTTGCAGCTTTCACAGGTGAGGAGCCCATAATGGTACCCAGACACTTTATCGCCACACACGGGACAAAGCTCTTCAAGATCTTCATCATAGGAGTAATTCACCATTTTAAACTGAGACACTGAAACAAGAAACAGAAATGTTACACACATATCTAGGTTATTCACCGTATGGGTTTTAAGCCTGCGAAAAAGAAAAGCATTTTGGTGATTGGTGGGCAAGGTTATCACTAGGTTAAGTTCTAAAATAAAAAATAATTTTTACCCAGGCGGTATTGAAGGGAATTATTTTTACACAGTGAATGTAAAACCTCTTTGGGCATCGGTGAGCATGCGCTTCGTATTAGGAAATTTTAAAATAATTCCAACTTCTCCTGCTAATATTTTAAACTGAGCACTGTTGGAACACAAGTCTCTCAACTCTGCACAGCAACAGCTCAGAGTGGAAACACGCATTGCATAAAGCAGCGAACCTAGCATGTGTTTTAAGTCTCTGCAAAGTTAAGTTCCAAAACGTCACCTCCGCCTCCGGAGGGAAACAAGAGCACCCGTTCCTCCCCCGCTATCGCAGGAGTTTGCTGCCAGGACACCTGGCCGGTGAGGACAGCAGCACCCGTGTATTTGCAATCGCTGCTCCACAGAGGAGAGAAGAGAAGAAACCTGCTTCTCAGCAGCCCAACTTTAACAACAGCCTGCGGCTCCCAGTGTTCAGATCTGTTAGATTAATCGAAACGTTCAGTTCTCTATTGACAGTACTCCTGGTTACTTTTATCTCCTCGAGTTTAGAAATTTCCTGTGAAAATAAAAAGAAGGAAAAAAGAAAGGACCCTGGAAGGTGTGTGTGTGTGCCGGGGGTGCAGCAGACAGAGGAAAAGAAAGACACAAAAGTTGCCCTATACTATAATAAAACTCGCATGTCTCGATGGTCACTGCGGAGTAGAAACACCTAGAGATCGCCCTGCTAGGCAGAAATCAGGCCACAGCCCACTGCCAGGCTTGGGTCACCGCCTTGCTCCGGACGCTCACCCGAGAAGGCGTCCTAAGCCAAAAGACAAGCTAGTCACGTGAAAAGCAGGGGCGGGGGGGGGGGCGAACCCCAGAAGTACCTGATCAGGTACCTCCCGGGGACTCTGCGCGCCAGCGGGGCGAGTCGCGGAGCGCGGCTCGCGGAGGAGCTCGGCTGCAGGCTCGCGGGTGGGCGGGCGCCGAGAGCGCTGGGCAGGTCTGCACAGCTCGGCGGCTGGCCGCCTCCCCGGGAACCCGCTCCCAAACCCCCAGGCGCACCCGGCTCTCGTCCCTTGCTCAACCTTCGGCTATCCAACGGAGTAGAGACGGAAGGCCAGTTTGTTTTAAGTTAATCAGTGGCGTTGCAGGGGGTGGAGCTGGGGGGCGCGCGGGGGGAGGGAGTAACCACGGTAAGGCAGAAGTTTTCTCTGATTTGTTTACCAAAAACGCGAAGTAGCCCCCACCCCCTCGCCAAACCCCCACCCCGACCACTCAATCACCATAGGGACCTCTTTGCCTAGTGACTTTTTTAAATAGAGTTCTTTTTTTTTTGAGGGCCTCGGAAAGGGCCGTCGGGGTGGCGGTGGAGGGTGTACCGGCAGCACCCACTGTCCCTCCCCGGACAGAGGGCCCTGGGCTGGGGCTCAGGCGAGGAGTTCGCCAGAGTCTGGGAGAAGCCCAGGAAGAGCTCAGGGAAAGGCCACAGCCTGGGCTGTGTGACACAGAAACAAGGGATGCTGTGCGCAGGTTACCAGGGGCGCGGGCTTGAATCCCGGCCCTAGGAAGCCCTGCCTGGGTTTGGCGTCCCGAGGGTTTGGGGAGAGACGGAGAATTCCAAAAGTTCGTTTTAGCCTACACGTTCATAGCACTCCGAAAACTCAGAACTACTCTCTCCCAAGTATGTTTTAGGAACGGAAAAATGTTGTATTTACAAGGTGTGCTCTTTTTCTACCTGCCCTTCCCGCAATAAAATAAACTCTAAACTTTACACCTAAGGGCACAGAAAGGCAGCCTCCTACAGACCCCGTGTCCACCTCGGGGTCCGACACCCAAAAGACCTAGTCCTGGGATGGGGATCCTCTTGGAAAATTAAAAAAAAAAAAGAGGCTGGGTGGGGAGACTGGCGCCGCTGTGGGAGGCTGGGGCATCGTAGGGTCCCCAGTAGTACCCTGGTGCAGCGGAAGGAGACCCGAATCCATCACCGCGAAGAAGTCGCTTGCGCTCTCCCCAGTCTCCATCTAGGGAGCGGAGGACTGTGGGGTCTCGCAAGGCTGGGGTGTCAGTGAGGCGAGCCAAGAAGTTTCCTCGAGGCTGGGGCGCCGCGCTGAGAACCCTGCACCAGACCCCCTTTCTGGACTCTGGACAGGTCGGACTAAGGGCGTGACTCGGACTGGAACCAGAGCACTCCAGGGAATGGGGTCCGTGACCCCAAGGACACCTCCTGACAGGCACCTAGTCCGGGAGGAAGCCGTGCCCCGAGCTCCCGGTGCAGCTTTTGAATTCAGACCCCGGCAAGCGGCCGGCGAGTTCACTGGAGCCCCGGACAGGCGGTGAGCCGGTGCTCCGGTTGGGGGTCCGAAGGCAGTGCCCAGAAGGCACCCTCCGAACTTTACCAAGAAAATGTCACCTTGGACCCCACCCTCATTAAACCCTCGGGGTTTCCCCTTCGCAACTTCTTCCAATGCCTCCCTGAGCTGCTTTCCCAGTCTCTCGGAAACGCCCGCGCCGGAAAAAGTAACTTTCTTTTTGGAGCAAGAAACGCGCGGGCCTCAGAGGGCGGTGGAAAGGGGAGCAACCCTCGGACTCCCAAGTCGCACTTCCTTCAAACCAGTTTCTGGGAAGAAACGCCTCTTTGGGCCAACCGGGTTCCTCTGCAGCCAGACCCGCACAATTGGCCTCGGGGGCTTCAGCCCCAGGGGACTTCCAGGGCCCCACCCGAAGGCTCGGAGATACCCCAGATCGAGGGGACAACCGACCCCTACGCGCAAAACGCATGTCCTCCTGCCGCCCCCTGCTCCCCGGGCGATGTGGCGACGTCGGGTCCCCAGTCCGAGCGCCCCGGGCGCGCCGCCTACCCCGTGCCGCAGAGCGCGCCAGCCCTGAACTCTGCTCTCAACACCTCCCGGCCCTTTCAAGTTCCCGCAAGGGGATGGCAGGAAGCGTCCAGGATCACAGGCCCGCCGGCCCGCACATCCTGCGCGCGGGAAGGGGCGAGGATGGAAGAGCACCGGTGACTTTTCCTAGCATTGTTCCCTCCTGGCCCGGGGCAAATGCGATAAACTTCTGACGGGCTTAATACAAGCCAGATCTCGAGTGGCTATTTTGGAATGTGGGGAAAATATAACCAGAGAATTTTTTTGTCTGTTGTTAGCAATCAAGATCTGGGGAAACAAATGGGCCTTCCACAGTCACAGGTCTCATACTGAAGGGGCCATAAACTAATCTCGGCCCCCTCACTGGACATTCCCCTCGCAGAGGATGGGGTGGCAGTGACTTTGGTTCCCTGAGTTCTACAGTTTTGAAGTTGCCCGCCCCGGAGCCAGCTCCAGGGTTCCCCGAGCCTTTGGGGGGCTCACATGCACTGTAACCTCCGAACACAGCCTCTCTCGGGTCGCCTTCTCGCTCTGCAGCTGGCTCCCCGGGCAGTCCTCTCCCTCCACGCGGGAGTAGGAAAACGCACGGCGGCTGCAGGGACCCGGCCGGCTCGGGTGTCCAGTGAGACGTCCTTATCAGGACCTTATCATCCCAATGCCTTGGGCCCCAAGCTCCCTCCTCCCCGCTCCGCGCGCGTGGCCGCGGACCGAGAATCCTCTCGCTTTAATTAGAAGCGGCCAATTAGATACCATTGGGAAGCTCTGCCCGCACGGTTCAAGAGCCATAAACTTTTCTGCCCGCGACTGAAGAGGGGGTCTGCAGCACCCCGCGCCCCGCGCCCCAGTCCCCGCGAGCGGGAAGCTGCAGCCCGCGGCGCTGGCCCGGGTGGAGACGCGGCCGCGGCCGGAGCGAGCGAGCAGGCGGGCGCCGCCTTCCTTACCTTGCATGTTTTCCGGCATCTGCCCCTGTTCCCCATGCGATCGAGCCAGTCCTAGGGCTTCCGTCTCCACTTTGGGCAGCATGACAAGGCGGCCGCGGGCGGGAACGGGGGGTCGGTGTCGCTCCGGAAGCCCAGCACCTGGACACGGGCAGCACAGATCAACTCCGGCGGGAAGAGGACCGGGAGACCCGGTGCCCGCTCACCCACCCGCTCGCCGGTCCGGACCTCGCAGCCCCGTCCCGGCCCCTACCCTGCAAGGACGAAGGGGTCGGGGCCACGAGTCGAGGGCGGACGCCGAGGTCCCCGCGGGCGCGGCGCGGCGAGGGCAC